CCAGACTTTGTTTAAGGTGGAACAAAGAGCTGCCAAATTCATTGAATAATTAATCACTGTAATCATTGGAATTTTCCATTTACCTCTGACATCTGCAGAGAAGCGAGCCGAGTGCCTGGAGACGAACAGTTTAAGCTCCTGGTCCAGGTTGCAGTCGATGAGGTTGGTGTCCCATGAACGGATTCCTGCAGGGTCAAAGATGTGAATTAAATATGAGCAGGAGAATGGAAGCATCAGTTAAGAAAAAAAAAAAGAAAAACACTTGTGCACACACATACATACACAAAACCCAGCTGAGTCATGATGGCATCCCTCTCATCACCTATTGAAGGCACAGTGCAGAACGAGGGGAAAATATGAAAGAGAAAATGCCTTGAAAAGGAGATTTTTTTTTATTTGAATAAACGCCACATTTTAGGTTAACTTTGTTTTCCTTTACCAACTTTACTGTAGGAATACTAGGCACAGAAAAACAAAATATAATGAAAACAATCTAAAAAGAAATCTGTCTTTAATTCGACAAAAAGTCTTTGTTTTCAGCAGCAGTAATGGATGTTGTCGCAAAAAATATGTTATAATTAATGTTATTGTTTGATGATAAGCTTAAAAGAAAGTATATTATAATGCTTTATTTATTTTAATTTATTTTCAGCAGTAATGGATGTTGTCGCAAAAAAAATGATATAATTAATGTTATTGTGTGATGATAAGCTTAATTAAGTATATTATATTGCTTTATTTATTTTAATTTATTTAAGTGTCAGTCGAAAAAGCAGTTTCTTTTACACCCACGCTGTAACTGCGCAACATGAAAAGAAACAATACAGCCAGTCCAGTCCAGTCCATCGAAGTCCAGTCCAGAGAGCCAGACCTGCTCAACATCAGCTGACTGTAGACCGCTTCAAAAACGCCCTTCTACTTTTTTCCCTGCTTGAATATCGGTCCTTGTGGCTTTCCGTAGGGACCGCAGTGCGGACAGAGCCACGCCCACCTGCCGGTGTGGGATGAGAGAAGTGGATGCGGGATGACGAAGCTGCTGCTGATGGAGACAGGCGTGTTACCACAGAATGGACTGTGGATTATTTATTACTGTTCCTTTTTAATAAACATTACAGTAGAACAGTAGTAGAACAGTAGTACAGAGAAGCACAAGTGTTTGTTTTGTTTTTTTCCTGACAACCAATCGATGCTAATGACGGTTCACTGCTAAAACAAAAGCCTGAGTCACCACACGTTGTTCTGCGTTGGAGAAACGCAGTTGCAGTTGCATCATCTGATTTGATCTGCTAAATCACCAACGTCAGCTATAGGAGAATGTGTCCCACGAGTGTTGGTGACAACAGTCGGGCCTTACGTTGTGATAACACGACATAAACAACCATAGTATCTTAGAAAGTCACGGCTGGAAAACCTGTGGATGAAGTGATATTACAGGGAGGGGCTGCTCTCTTGTCCCATCAATAACAACATATTTTTTTATTTTATCTGGCGAGTAAACAGGCCGGGCTTCATGTATCAATTTAAGGAGTAAGTTGATGAGCTAAAGCTAAAGAATGAGTTCAGCATCACAGTTGAAGTTGTGGATGTTTAGTTCACAGCCTGGTGGGCTACACCCCCGCCCTCCTTTCACCTATACCCCGGTCTTTACCTTTTTCTATGTCCGCAATGGCACACTTGAGGTGATCCTCCGTGATGATCTCACCGATCACCACCAGTAGGTAAAATTTGTTGTCGTTAAAGTGCGGCTGGGGGCCGGTGGATGTGGGAGACGTTCCGGTGCTGCTCTGACCACCCAGAACCTCCATGTTCGCAGACTGTACCAAGGTGGCCATCCTGTCCTCTGCTCCTTTCTCCTCTTCTCTTCAATGTTCTCCTCTCCCTGTCAGTGATTGCAGTAATACAGCAGCAACAGCAGTACTCCTCCTCCGCCTCCTCCCTTTATTCACTGCACTGCTCCGGCGAGATCTCCAGACACCAGAGGAGCCCTGATAGGAGTGGCTCTAGCTCTTTATACCAGCAGACATTGTGTCATATTCAGGAATAGAGGAGAGGAGAGGGCACCGGTTCTACCCCCACCCCACTCTTTTTTTTTCGCAAACTCACTCCACATCTGATGTCATCCACAACGAATCAAACGCCCCCGGAAGTCACCGAGATGACATGCACTGTTTATATTCATTAGTCACTTAAGACGTTCATACACAAAGAAATCCTGTACAGCTAGGGCTAAACTGTAAACAAACACTGGAGTTTAACACCAGAGGAACAAGAACAGCTATTTACTGTCTTGGTGTCTGTGTAGCCCATTCCACCCAAGTGTGGCCCACATGGACTTGCGGGCTTTGTTATCATATAACTTCAGTAACAAAAAGTAAATCTACAGACAGACGTGAGTTCCTCCGTAGCTAAGCTTAATAAAACATTAGCCTAGCACATGTTTACAATGGAAACAGGAAGATTGCTGGTCTGCACATAATAAATGACAAGAAAAGGTTATTGTGGGCTATACTTGTCTGAGCGTTTTGTAACAGATACAGAAATGTTACTGATATTTATAGTTTTATGGAAACAACAGGGTTTATGCTAGTGCATAATTCAAACAACAATTCATCTCTACAGTCAGCTTTATTGTTGTTGTACAAGTACAGTGTCTCTACAGTCAGCTTTATTGTTGTTGTTGTACAAGTACATTAAAAATGTTGTGTAGATTTGCTTTTTCAAAACACTGTCAGTAAATCAACCCCATATATATATTGGATAAAAATGCTAATAATAAAACAAGAGTATTGGGAAACATGAGAGGGTATATTCAATTTCCACATATATAAAAAGGACAAAGACGATCTTAAATCTATATGGGTCAGTGGATGAAGTGTCCGTTAAAGAGACAGTTAACCCAATTCTGCGACAGGAAAACAAGATTCCTCCTGAGATTCCGACACTGCACAGAACATACAGTACAAACCTACAGAACTGTACAACAGGATCGGACCAGCCAATCTGTGATTTATTTTACTGTAAGGCGGGCACACTAGCCACACCTGCCACGGTGTGGCCTCTTAACACACTTAGTTACAGACTAGGTAAAAAAAAAAACTCTTCAATAAAATGTGGATAAAGTTTGTGGGTGATTTAAGTTTGTACACAAAGATGCTGAGGAATACAATCTATTTTTTGATTGAAGTAATAAAAGCATTAGCTGCAATATACAGTTGGTTTTTAATCAATATCTATAACAGAATGGAAAGATGGGTTTTAAGGTGGAGGCATTTATCAGCAAAGAGATGCTGATGTGTATAAACAGTACACGCATTTCAGCCTTGATTGACTAAAGAGGCGTTTACAGGACAGTCTAAAGTACGACAACTGAATATGTATTACTGTATGTAGTCAGATGGATTAAAGGAATTAAACTCTTTGATCAAAGGTGCTCAAGTTATTACAGGAAAGGGAGAGGTTTGGATCTCAAAGAACACCATCCTCACTGTGAAACACTTCAATATTAATAAATTGCTGATACAGATCAAGTGCAAATGTTTACTAACTACAAGTCCAAACTGAAATCATGCAAAATAATCCAACAGGAAACACAGTCTTAACTCACCAGACACAGGCAGGCTGCAACAGAGACAAAGAAGAAAAACAAAAACAAAAACAACAACAACAACAACAACAACAACAGAAACCACAACATGAACAAAGGACCAACAGGAACCATATGATGACCCAATGAGGACATAGTGAGGCAGAGAGGTTTATATACCCAGGTTACCAGGTGAGGCTGATGGACAGAGTCACATGACACAGGTGAGGGTGATTGAACTAATGAACGCAGCAGAGACAGACAGAAGAGATGGACAATAAATCAGGAAGAGCTGAAGAAATGTCTCAACAAAGACTCGTCTGGAGACTTACAGTAGTGGAAGAAACCTCAAACCAATGTATTTATTTTACCAAAACAAATAAACAAACAAACAAGGAAATAGTAGTGGGAGTGTCTAGAGACCATTGTTGTATTATTATTATTATTATTATTATTATTATTATTATTATTATTATTATAGGCCTTTACCAGTACCTAAATGGTACTATTTAATAAAGACAAAAGAAAAACTGAAATACTACTACTATTCTAGTATAACTATGGCAACAATCATCAATAAAATAATTTTTAGTAAATTTTTTAAAATAAATATATAAGTAATAAATATATATATTAATAATAATATATTTATAATATCTTATTATACTAACTATTATCATTATATAATTTTAGTTTTTATTATTTATCAGGCCATATACACACTTGCATTATGTTACAGTATTATTGACCAATTCTCTCTCAGACCAAGGACATAAAAATGCTCAGTTTTCCCAAGATAAAAACAAAGCCTGTAGGAGAACTGAAAACCTGAGCTGCTGCTGCTGAGAAAATGAACCACACAGATTCAACCTGATGGATAAAAGTACACGGGCAGGTAAAAGCACGCACAAGCTCAAAAGCTGACCTTCATACTGCAGCGCCGGTGGAATTGATGTGATTCAGTGTCACTGATGGGGTCACAGCAGGTGTGTGACTATCAGAAACTGGAGTCCACACAGCAGCTCCACAGAAGGAATAGTTCACAGTCTTTGTTGCCTGGTGGGCTGGGATTGGTCATTTTTATCAACAGAGATGGGAGGTCATATCAAAGATTCATCACACACAGCTGGGAAAACATGAAAAATACAACGGGCTGCAGCCAAAAGGCTCAGCACACGAGGGTGGAATGTATGAAATAGATAGAAATATAGATGGATAGATAGATGGATGGATGGATGGATGGATGGATGGCTGGATGGATAGATAGATGACTGTGTGACTAAAATGTGGTGTTAAAATTATGTTCTAAAATAATTAAAACATTTAATAGGTACATTTTGAAAGGCCATATTTATAGTGTTGTTTTTTAAAAGAAGTTTATGTATTTTAAAGTACTACACTGTACTACACCCTTTACAGCCAAGAGCTGGCAAATAAAATTGAGTCTAATGTTCATTATGGCAATGGAGGTTACTCGATTGCTACAGTATTTTATGCAATTATATTCTATTAGCTCTATTTCATTCATACGTTTTTCACTTCAGTGCTTTGGTAATTTGTCAACCTAACTGCACAGGTTATTGCTCTCAGACGTGGAAAATGTTCTAAAATTAAACTTTTTCATAGCCGTACATTTGTACTTGGCAGGGCCAGACATTTATACTCAGGAATGTGGACGTTTTATATTGACCGTAGACTGTTATATATTAAACTCAGATCTAATTTTGTATTTTATGATATTTATGCTCCTGCTTGGTTTTATATATATTTTTATTAAAGACTCCCATCAAAATATTTCCAATAATTTAGCAAAGTTTTATGGTAACATTAAAATGATAAATGTGAGTGTGTCTCAGTCTCCACAAATCAAATATAATGGTGCCCTGTACCTGTGTACATAACAGCCTCATAATAGAGTGGACGAGTTTATGTTGATGACTTGTTTCCATGGAGAAAGTCACGGGCTCTGACTTGGCATGAAGCTCTAATTAGGACCGTACTACTGCAGTACTGCTCAGGGGCGCAGGGATACGAGAGTAAAACACTATTTCACTGTTGGCACACCAGAGTTATCGTAAAAACCAGGACCATGTGTTTGAAACTTTTCATCTTGAAAAGGCTCCACGTCCAGTCCACCATATTTATATCTTAGAGTTATGAGTCGTCCGATCACAGCAGACAAAGAGACCTGCTTTTGTTCTCCGGTAGAGAAAAAATTCAAAAATGATGTGATCAGTTGTTAACTGACGAGAGGTTCTACCTTCTAGCGTTATGACGTGGAGAGAAGAGAGACTTTTGTTCATCAGCTACTGCTCAACACAGGAGTCTGAAACTCCAGTGATCTGGGGGGTCACAGAGGCCAACGACATCTCTCTGAGGGTCACATCACTGATCAATATCCAATACAAAAAACAAAAACAAAAAAATTAGGGTCACATCACTGATCAATATCCAATAAAAAAAACAAAAAAAATTAGATTTTCGATCAATATCCAATACAAAAAACAAAAAAAAAATTGATTTTTGAAAAAATGACTTGTTTAATTGAAATACTGTAATGTACAGTATATATGACTAAAAAAACATTTTTTTAATAATTGAAAATAAACTTTAAAACATATTTTGTGCAACCTCTTGTTTGCTTTTGGTCAGAGGCATTTTTTTTAAAATACGATTCTTCCACAAAAAATAATTTTCTAGATGGGACTGGTCGACCCCAAAAGCCCCCCTTTCTTTCACTCCCCTCAATGGAGACACATTCAAAACAAAATAAATAAAATGTTTTACTATTATTATTAATATCCCTGCGCCTTTCAAAGTGGTTCGTCCCCCAGTTTGGGAACCACTATTCTAATCAGTAACCTAGGGTTGCCTACACATTTTTGGCTCAACATCCAATATTCGAAAGACCAGACAAAAGTGATCCAGTTACATTGAAAACCTTAAAGGTAGGTAAGTGTATTTACTCATAAAAACTGAACATACTTTATACATATGTCGGGGTACTGATTAAAGGCATGTGACTCCATGACATAATATGATTCAATTCTCTCAGTATGTGTTCACTATGACACTGTAGAATTACTGGTAGATCCTGACTGACTTATGTGTCAGTCATCCCTGATATAAGGTATGGACTCAGACCAGTCTACATCACTGACATGGAGTCAACACATCATCCTGCAGAGGGACAGAAGGAGCTCAGCCATAACTAAGTGTCACGGTGGAGTCCATTACCTTGATCCTGGCCCTTCATCTCCCTGGTACTCCATTTCTCTGGGTCACTGTACATCCTGTTGAGCTGACAACATCATTCCAGCATGTGTGTGTGTGTGTTCAGCTGTACAGGGAAGCAGATGAGAACAGAGGCAGGCAATTCAATCAAAGGTCAAAGTTCAAAAGTACACACAGCACAGATTGTACCCTGACATTTCATACATGGAGTACATACGAAGTTTTCAACGACATCAAAGCTGAGCTATAGCTTTCAAAGTCAGACCTGAAATGTTTTTTATTTCCAATTATTTGAAAATGTCAGACACTGTGTGTGTGTGTGTGTGTATTACTATATTAGTGAGGACGTGTTTTGAAAAGTACTTTATTTTTGGGGAACCTTTGTATTTGTGGGGAGATTTTTCAGGTCCCTCTGAATCAGACTTTTTTTTTTAGTTTTTTTTTAGTTTGGAGCTAGGATTAGAACTGACATCAGATTAGAGTTAGTGTAAGGATTAAGATTAGGCATACT